TTTACTCAGGGTACGTGGTATTTTACATACTATAAAGTTACATAGTTTGAGAATTTTACAAAGTCATAGAGGAAAGTCATGGAAGAAAGTCATAGATATGACTGCTAACTTTAAGATGTACAGAATAGATATTGAGATTGGAAATCTAATACTAGTATCTTGCAGTAGAATATGTAATTGTGTAATTTGTGATATAATTTTCAATTTGATAGGTTTTTAACAGTTCTAAAAAAGAGACCAGAAGCTAGATGTAGAGCAGATTACTAATTATTTGTAAAATTTTGTTTGACTTCTTTTGACTCTTAAACATCTCATTTGGAAATCTAATCCTTCTGCTTTTGTTTAAGGAAGTTGTGGACTTCTCTTTTAAATTGGTTGTTTAAGAGGATGCAATTGGAGTCCCACCTTTTCTCACTGAGAAAGAGGGGGAGGGTGCTGCTGAAAGAAGGGTTGTGTAATAGCCACACCTGAAGCTGGCCTGCAGTGCACTAGACTGCAGAACTTGCCTCTTAAGTTTCCAAGGATTTGTAAATTATAAGTTTGTTTGGTAATTAACATGGGTATATTTAATCTATCTTCGTTAGCAGTTTGTTTTCCCAAAATAAGCTTGAGAATTTTTTTTGGTGTGTGTATGTTTTGGGGATTGAATCTAAGGTTCTTTTTATTTTTTGGCTGTAGTGGTGCTTTGCGAGTTAGGTTCTCTATCGCTAAGCCACACCTCCAGCTCCTCCCCCTCACCTTTTTGTCCTTATTGTTATAATTACTCATTGACAGTACTGAGGGTTTGAACTAAGAGCCTCACCCTTGCTTTATTGGTGTGATACCACTATAACACCTCACCAGTCCTTAGAGATCCTCACCCTTCCTCTGCCCTCTCCTCCTTTCCTCTGCTTACACTCTGTACTGTGATTGAACTTAGAACTTCGAGCTTGCTTGAAGTGGTAGAGCTCGCCTTGAGCTGAAGAGAGCAGGGACAGCGTGCCCAAGCCCAGAGTTCAAGCCCCACAACCGACCAAAAAAAAAAAAAAGAACTTAGAGCTTACTAATCGGGCACTTTGTCACTTGTGCCATGTCTGCAGCCCTTAGTGTACAATCTTCATATAGACTTAAAATAGACTCTGTAGATAATGCCTTTGTTAAATAGCCACTTTAAGGTATCATCTGTTCCCTACTGATTGCCTGACTAGCCTTAATTTCTCCTGCCTCCAGAACTGGAGTATCTCCCAGTGAACATGCTCTCTGACAGTGTATCTGTCATCAGTGCCAGGAGCCAGACCTTTGGCTTCTAGATGAGTTTGGAGAATTGAAAGCAGGAGGAAAATGAGGTTGTGTTTTTCCTGTTTGTTTCGGGTTCTCCTTGAGATCATAGCTCCTGTCAAGCTAATAGCTTCCTGAATTTTCTGTATTTCAATGTAGGCCAGCAGCCCAGGCTCCCTGTTTACAGGTCTATGATGTATAAGTAGCAGTTGTCAACAGCAAGGCAACAACATTTTCAAAACTAAGTAAGGCAAAGTTTACCAATTTAAGTGTCGTAACTGGCAAAGTCTCAGGTCAAATACTGAACTATAATACGCCTTGGCTGCAGGGGTACTTTTATCCACAGAGACAATGTCTTTAAGCACTTGCAGTTGATTTCTCTCGCAGTTGGCCAAATCTTGATCATGTATTTTCTGTACTTTAAGGATACAACTTTCAGGGCTTTTAAGAGTGATTTGACTTTGCACTTCCACAAAACCATGGTAGTGATCCAGTCCATGTACCCTGTGAGTGTGGTGAGGTGTATCTTGGTAGATAAAGCCTAGTGAAGTCTGAAGAGTCATTTATCAAAATACCAATCAGCTCATCATTGAACTCCACACTAAAATCTGCCCTCTGTATTCTATTATGTGCTTGGTCCTAGCTCAGAAACTCCATTTGCCAGCAGCCCATACTGTTGTCAAAGGAGCCACAAGTTTCTGTCCATTTCATGCACCACTGAACAAGGGTGATTTTGGATGCTGTAAACACACTGCCTTGTACACACATCCCACAGCTATGACCCTGTAAAATGAAGTCTATCTTTGCAGTAAAGTGCATATACTCTGGCACTATGTCCAATTAATGATGAGGTCTCAAAGGATTCATGGTCTTCCAGTTGCTTTATTCTGAAAGTAGCCTTCACATAAATCCTATCTGCAGACTCACCAATCCGCCAGCCCAAATTGTTACATATAGTCTGCCATGTGTCTGTACTGGCACTTATCACTTCTTTCACTGACTATAGGGATGAGGCAGCAACTGAAGATAATTTTAGGCTCCAGCAGTTTTAACAAATAGATAAATGCTCTTTCCAAGGGAAAGAGCTTGGGGGAATTCTGCTGTGGAGAATCTCTAAGTTATTGAACAGATGCCTGAGCTAGACTAACTCCACTAATCAGGTAATCCAGAGTTTCATTTTTTTCTAAAGCCCATTTGAGAAAGAAATATAGCAGAAATGTTATTAAGCCATGTGCCCTTCCTCTCCATAGGGGAATGTTTACCTGAGTGAGTATATTCTGGTCTGGCTGGAACTTCATGCCATGGGGTGCTCGCACCAAGGAGGCATAGTCTTAGATCTTTCAGTAAATGGATCCACATTGCAACTGCTATGGCCTGGACATGTGAGTGCTTGGGTTCCACAGCCTCAACTATTTAAATGTCATAATGAGATCTATAGGGAAAATAGTGAGCAAGTGGGAATTAAAGTCAATCTAGTCTCTTTAACGTATAGATTTTTATTCTTTTCAAAAAGTAGATTTAAGGGGGGAGGATGGGAAGGGATGGGAAGGGGAAACAAAGGAGGAGGCTACAATGCTTGATAAGAAATGTACTCATTATCTTGCCCATGTAATTGCAACCCCTCTGTACAGTATTTTCACAATTAAAAAAAAAGTAGATTTAACACTTGTTTATCTTTGCTTCTATATAGTAGAGATTAATATTTGTTTCCTGATGATGACCTTTTTCTTCTTAGAGTCTTTATTGAACTCTCACTCTCCTTGATGTATTATCATTTGGTATTCTGTATTTACCTAGATAGGTACTAGACAGTTGATTAAGCTTTGGCTTTTAAGTCACAACATTGTTCTTCCTTTTTTCCTCCTCCCCCCTCACTTAATGTTTGCAACTAAATAAGGTAGATGTATTCCCTACCCTCTAGAGTGATAACTAACTGCAGTTTCTTTTCAGTCTCTTTCCATGATTTTACTAGGAATTATTAGTTCTTGCCTGACTGCACTGTCCCTCTTATTGTTGACTTTATGCTTTTCCTGAGAACTGTTTCATCCTCCTGGCTTAAATTACAGCTTTTAATGCTAACTTCTTCTGATCTTTACACTGAATTTTATTCATTTATCTACTTACTAAATTTGAGTTCAGATTTAACTGTGTGCCTAGTAAAAATGATACAAAGATAATATGGTATTTGCCCTTAGATTTGCTGAAAGATGTATAGAAAGCACCTTAAAATCTAGTGTTGTAGACATATGGAGAGGGTGCCATGGAACAGATAAGAAATGATTCAAGCCTGTATTCCAAGGCATTTTGGAGGCAGAGGTGAAGGTATTGTGGCTAACCTGAGCATAAAAAGTTTGTGAGATAGTCTCAAGTAGTGGCTGGGTGCTCTCAGCTATGGGGAAGCACAGTGGCTGAGAGCATTGGTGAGTGCCTGTTACCTCCATTGACCCAGGGAAGCACAAGCAGGAGGATTGCAGTCAAGCTGGCCTAGCATAAAGTGAGACCGTATCTTGAAAATAATCAGTGCAAAAAAGGTTCTGGAGATAGGGCTCAAGTAGTAGAGTTTCGGTACCATGTCCTGAGTTTAATTTCAATACCATGGTGAAGGAGAGACTGTCTTTCTTGCCATAGTTCTAACTTGTTACTCTAGCCATATCATTTGTATCAGGGATATTCACTGACTGTAGAAACAGCCTGTCAGTAGCCTGTGTTGGAATCCTGGTTTTCCCATTTACAGTTTCAGTAATGTTTTCATTTCTCTAACCTGTAATGGTTAGTAAGAAATGGGATGCCTTGTAGGGTCAAGGTAAGGATTGAGTTAGTCTGTGTTAGTCTAGTGACAGGCATGTGTGAGCATGCAGTATTTGTTGGCTATAAAATGTCTTACATCTTGGAAACTCCTTGCTCATTCCCACTGCTCATATTGATGCACTCTCACGTTGCACTTGCATCCTTCAGCCACCAAATGCTCTCTTCCTTTTTGCCTGTGCTTTACTTGCTGTTTCAAGTTCAACTCAGCTGCCTCCTCTTTAATGTCTTTTTTTATCTCAATTCATATTGACCTCTGAACTTCCAAATTTTCCTTATACTGTTTTTAATAATTGATCTATTTTCATGGCATATCTCTGCCTTTTATGCTATTTCTTCTTATGCATAGTAAAAATACTATCAACAATTACTGTCACGGTCAAGATATAGAACAGTTTCATCATCCCCAAAAGAACCTATCTTGGTATTTCTTTTTAAAGAACTTTGTAATAAATTCATTTCTAAAAGTTATCTTTGGAAAACAAAAGGCTTATTTCTTTCCTTCTGCCTTTACTGGTTTTTTTTTTTTTAACTCTATTATTAGTTTAAGTTCTAATGTGAAGCAAATTTTTATATTTATTTATTCTTTGAAATGCTGTTAAAATTATTTACAGAATTTTGCATTTTTCCTTAAACATATTTAAGATAATCAATTTAGTTAAATATACAAATAGAAAACCTTCCTGTTTTTTCATCTTTATTTTTCCTACACCAGTTTTGTTCTTCTCCATGGCAGTTTGTTTCCTGATTGTGCCTAAAGTCAGAGGGCAGTGAAAGCAAATGGATACGCAAATGTTGCATGGTTGCATCAGCCTCACTCTTGGGTATTGTGGAATACTGCTCTTATGGGTAAATTTGCATCCCATTGAGTAGCCTTTACTTCCTAAAGGAGTGAATTGAATTTAATCATGTGTGTCTTTTTCTCCCTTCCCCAACAGCTTCCATGCCTATGGCTGTTCTAAATTTGGGCCAAATATATCCATTTCAGAGAGGCTTTTTCTGTACAGACAACAGCATCAAGTATCCGTACCATGATGGTACCGTCACAACCACTATGCTCGTCCTATTGGGGGTTGGCTTACCCATCTCCTCTGTAAGTAAATTAATAAGTAGGTAGTGATGCGTTTGTTGTGCTTGGAGGTTGGATGAAGTGATGGAGATGGCGGGGGTAAATCCAGGTTCTTTCTTCAACATGCTGTTATGGCAAATAGTCGATTGAGGAGTAAGCCTTACTGTTTATTAACCTATAGGTGATCTTTTCAGTTAAAGGTAGATGTGACCTAAATAACTTGTCATCCTGAAGAATTATAGAATGCTTATTTTAGAATGTAAGGGCTCATTTAAACCATAAGCCAACTCCTCTCAGTTTATGAACTTGTTCAAGTTCAGTAGGCTATTTTGTGACAGAATTGAAACTCAAGATAATACTTGCTTTATTGTAGTAGCAAATGGAAATTTAGCTCATAAAAATTCTGAAAAAACAGCAATATGTATAATAAAGTATAGAATACATTAAAACTATTACTGCTTTTAAAGTGATAGTTATAGAGTTTATCAATTTGTAGGATAATATTGGATTTTACTATTTTAGATAAGTGGAATCTTCCATTCTAGATCAGATCTCAAACTAGGTTAAGAGTGCCACTTGGGATATTGTGCCTACTTTATCCTTGGCTCTGGTTTCTGAACCTTATCCTTTGTCTTTTTATGTGACTTGGAAATAGAAGAAATCTGTAGCAGGGCAAAGATTTACCTTCTTGAATGTCTAGGAGTATAGCAGATCAGCCATTATTTCTTCCTTGACCTCCCTGACTTCTGTTAGTTGGCTTCTCCAGACATTTAGAATATTTTAGTTTTTCAGTAAATCCAGCAGCAGTCTTGTTCTACAGTAAGAATGGCTGGCATCTTTTCCTATTTTGCCTCAGAATTGGCTAAAAATAATAACTGAATACTTTGGTTTTCCAGTTCATATATCTGGGTTCATTTTTATTTACTTTTTTACTAAGTGTTATTTATTTATTTATTTATTTATTTTGGTCGGTCGTGGGGCTTGAACTCTGGGCTTGGGTGCTGTCCCTGCGCTCTTCAGCTCAAGGCCAGCTCTCTACCACTTGAGCCACAGTGCCATGGACTTTTCCTGCCCAGGCTGGCTTTGAACTGTGATCCTCAGATCTCAGCCTCCTGAATAGCTAGGATTACAGGTGTGAGCCACCAGGCCCGGCTAATTTATTTTCTTAATGGTCTTCAGCAACTATTATTACTTTAGTGTCATTCTGAACACACTACAAATTGTTTTGTGCCTTGTTTTTTGTCTTTATGACATATTTTTGAAATAGTTATAAAAATAAATTTGAACATAATAAGCAGTTTAAATAAGAGAGATAGGACATGGTATACATTCCTGAGTTCTGGGAATACCCTATGAGTTTATTGTTGAAATAATTGACTTGGAAAATAATACTAATTCAAACTCATTTATATTAAAAGAAGTCATTTTAACTAGCTTCTAGGCCTTAAATGTTCTGATGGCATATGCTAAAATTCCTATGGTATATTTATTAGTTTTAATAATTTATGTATAATATAATATATTATGTGTAATACCATGTATAGAATATTATTTATTTTCAACAAAATGAATAGTTTGATGAACCTTATACACAACTTTATAAATTGATGATGTGTACTCGGATTTAGGATGATAGAAAAAAAAAGTCATGACAAACATTTTATAGAGCAGTGACTTTTCTTTTCTTTCTTTCTTTTTTTTTTTGCTTGCTGGTCACATGGCTTGAACTCACTCAGGGCCTGGTCCCTGTCCCTGAGCTTTTTTGTGCTCAAGGCTAATGCTCTTATCACTTGAGCCACAGCACCACTTCCAGCTTTTTCTGAGTAGATTATTGGAGATAAGAGTCTTAGGGATGGGCTGGGAAGGTGGCTCAGTGGTAGAGTACTTGCTTTGCATGCATGAGGCCCTGGGTTCAATTCCTCAGCACCACATAAGCAGAAAAAAGCCGGAAGTGGCGCTGTGGCTCAAGTGGTAGAGCGCCAGCCTTGAGCTGAAGAGCTGAGGGACAGCACCCAGGCCCAGAGTTCAGGCCCCACGACCGGACCAAAAAAAAAAAAAAAGAATCTCAGGGACTTTCCTGCCTGGGATGGTTTTGAACACAATCCTCAGATCTCAGCCTTCTGAGTAGCTAGGATTACAGGTGTGAGCCACTGGTGCCTGCTGAGCAGTGACTTTTAAAATTTGAGTACCATAATTTTTTTTATTAATGTATTTTTTGTTTCATTAGTTATCAGAAAAGATGCCAAATTTAGAAAACTAGATTTTTATATTATTTAGCTTAAAGTTTCTTTGAGAGCATTAATGATCTACTTTGGATTTAGCCTGTTTTTCCTTATTTTGGTCTTCTTTTTCCTTTGGTAATTCCTTATAAAGGCAGTTCATTTACTTTTGTAATCATGTTTTTAGAAGAGGGCAAAAACTTGAATCTTCCTGCAAACTTTCAAACTGAAGATATAGCAACAATAAAGTTAATATGTACCTGGAGTTCAATATGTATAGCTTGGAAATGGACAAGACAATTCTTATGTGTATTTGATAGGTAATTTTAAATCAACTTGATTGTTGAGTAGTTGTCTTCTTTTTGTGAGTAGTTGTCTTCTTTTGACTTTGATTTCTGTAAGTAAGTAAAAACTTCTGTAAGTAAAAACTTTTCCTAAAATAGTGTATCTATTGCTTCTGTTTTTTTGTTTTGCTTTATTTTGTTTTGATTTGATTTTGTGTGTGTGTGTGTGTGTGTGTGTGTGTGTATACAGTGTATCAACCTCTTAATGATGCATTGTATTATTTGTGACCCAAACTACATCATTACAAACTAGGAATGTATGTGGAAAAGGTTTAATCTTTTTACATATTTTATAAATTAATGATAAATAGATGAATGACCCTAAGAAAAATGCTCAAAGAGTATGTATCAAAATTTGAAAATGCTGCCAAAATATAAAAAATATAGTTTAAAAGATTTATGTTCCTAAATGAATTGATATTAAAGCAATATTGAGAAGAAGATTTGGTCTGATTAACAAAAGGATTCATGTATCTTTTTATGAGGAGTAAAGTAATACATGAATAATTTTTATGGCTAAGTAGCATTAGGATCTCTCCTGAATGATAGCAAGAGAACAATTAGCATTTATTGCAGTTTATATAGCACGGTAAGATTTTTTTTAATTTATATATTTTCCGGCAGTGGTCCAGGAAGTTAGCATTCAAACAACTTATTATTTACATTTGTCTTCTTTGCTTTCATGATGACATAGGTATTGTGCGGCTAGTATTCAGTAGGCAACAAAAGACACTTTACTCAGAGTATATGGACAATCTGATTTGCTCACTTACCATATCTTCAGTGCCAGATACAACGCTTAAAATGTAATAGATATTTAATAAAATAGAGGTAGAAAAATTTAACTATAAAGCATATATTTTTCCTTAAAAAAAAACCAGAAAAATCTCAGTAGTTAATATAATAGTAATAGAGCTTCAATTTTTATTAGCATTGTATTCTTAGGCTGGGGGGTGGTAGTTCAGTGCAGAATATTTGCGTAAAAAGTGTGAAGCCCTGGAAGTGGCGCTGTAGCTCAAGTGGTAGAGTGCTCGCCTTGAGCTGAAGAGCTGAAGGACAGCACCCAGGCCCAGAGTTCAAGCCCCACGACCGACCAAAAAAAAAAAAAAAAAAAAAGTGTGAAGCCCTGGGTTTAAACCTTAGCTCTGAAAATAAACAACAGTATGTACTCAATAGTTACATGATTTTTTTTCTATTGCCTAGTTATATAAAGTAAAAGTTATCAAAATATTTACATGTATTCTATAAGTGGATATAACAAATACTTAAATATGCTATATCCAAGCATTTAGCACATTTTTTATATCAAAAAGCTAATTGCTAAGAGATGCTAGATGCTTCTAGCATCTCTTAGTAATTACAGCTTGTGACAATTGTCTAAAGAAAGAGCATTTTTCATAAGAACTTATAAAACCTTTATTTTCCACACAGTTTCACATGATGATAAATAAACAAGAAACTTTTCTCAAACTGAAACCACCCTTCACATCACCATATTTCTTGAATACTAATGGGCATTTATTTCCCCTACATTTTAAATACCCTTAGCAAGGAAACAAATATAATAATATTGTCTCACTTTTTTCCCCTGAAGAGCTCAAATAAGTATCGTATTAAGAGACGACTCGTAGTTAAGCTGAATTGACATGCTAGTAGATATTATCAAACAAATAGAATTAAGTAAAACGAAGAAATGTAAATATTTCATTAATTTTCCTTTTTCATAAGTGATATTTTGGAAAGTAGTTGAGGGTGTTATGTGCTTGTCCTTTTAAAAAAAATATATTTCATTATCTTTAGTTTTACCAAGGGCTTATCACACAACATTTTGCTTTTGTAGACCCTAAGAAATTGATTAAACATAATTATAACACTGTTGTTTGGACTTTTTTCCCCTCACTATGTAATCCATATTGGCCTCAAACTAATAATCCTGTCTTATTCTCCCTAGTGCTGGAATTACAGGTGTGCTCCATCACTTATTTGAAGTGTTTTTGATAATTCAAAATAAATCTACACCTTCGATCCAACAGTGAGTTTTACAGCACCAGAGCATGTGTAGATAATTGATAAGTTGGACTTAAGTCAAATTAAAAATTGCTCTGTGAAAGATACTGTTAAGAGAGTAAATAAACTATGAGTTAACATTTATAAAACATCTGATGAAAGACTTGTATCCAAAATATCCAGAGTGTGTGTGTGTGTGTGTGTATTTAGTAGTACTAGGGTTTGAACTCTGGGCCTTGTCATCTGTTAGGTCCTCTGCTACTTAAGCTATACATCTCTAGTCCTTTTGGCTTTAGTTGTTTTGGAACAGGGTGTCTGGTTTATGACTGGGCAAACCTGAATTTCAGTCTTCCTGTTCACATTTTCTGCTTAGCTGGGATGACTGGTGTGTACTCTGCTCCGTTTCTTATTGATTGAGATAATTTCTTGTGTACTTTTTGCCTGGTCAGATCTT